TACGCACTCGTAAACATATTCCTGTTTGGCTTGGGAAAAGAGCAGCCAAATCACTAAATAGTGCAATTCTGTCTCATCTAGTGGATAGCGAACACAGCATCAAAGTAGATGAGTCATTTACAGTTGTGTATCGAGTACCGAACAATCTCCCCAAAAGGCACACGATTACGCCTCCTGGCCATAGCTGAGGCTTTAGGGATTAATCGAGAGACAGACCAGACTTATGTGTACAGAAAAAACTTATTCACTCTCTTTGTCTACCGTAGCCCAGTATAAGGTCACCAGGATCATAATTTTTTCGTACTATTATTATCGTTATTATTATTTTGTGATATCATGCCCTTATTATCCATTTCTCCACTCAGTTTACTTCACCTCATTGTTACCCTTAATTTTTGTCAACCTTTATGATTTTATACTAAGCCTACCAATTCTGTAGCATTTTATTACAATTTACAATTTAGCCTCTTTATTTTATCATTAGACATTATCGGTCAGCTCTCACATCCAGTGCCTCCTTTGTTAACGTGTCTTTGCATGTATTTTGTGGTTATTGCATTTTTCTCACCCCAAGGACGCTTTTATTCTGTTGACTTTAAAACAACTCTATATCACCCAATTGCTCATTCACACTTCATCACATTGTTTTCTGACTATACACCCTATACACATTTAATTGACTATGCTAACTAATGGACTATCACCTCAACTTACACATGCCCCCCAATACAGTTTCTGATATTATTTTCATTTGCCTTTACTGGCTATATGTACTCTATTATTCATGGATTTATAGCTGTAGAACCTGAAGAAGTTATCGAAAACAATTGTTCGCTCAAAATCTTGTTTTATTTAATAATGTTTTAAAGTCTCGTAATCCATTCACTTGAAATCTAGCCCACCACCCCCCAGCTTATTAGTACATCAATTTAATTATCTTTACTCTTGTCATATGTGCAATATTGACTGAGCAATTTCTACTGTCCCTTAATGCCTCCTTTCCGTAATATAAATAGGCCTATACAGCATGGGGGATGAAGTCTTTGAAAAGACATATTTCTTTGAAATAATAAAGAAGATTTGTAGCTCAGGTGGATGATTTCCAGTTGATACTGTTCTCTGAGCTGGTTTGTTTGGTTGCGGAGCTTTCGTCATCCTTCTGGACAACATCTTCAGCGCAATATTTGGCATAAAGTGAAATGATTTAAATTTTTTTTCATGAGTGATATAATTGCGTCTTTCGGTAACCATCTTTACATATGTAACGACCATTTTATATTGACTTGGATTGTAAACTTTCTGGTCACTCGATTTACCTTTTATTAGTCGGTATATTTGGTCTATGTTGCCCAGAAGGACGACGAAAGCTCCGCAACTAAACCAATCAGCTCAGAGAACAGTATTAATTGCAAGATATATTTCTTTGCTGAACAAAATTCTGTGTCTTCTTTCTTACGAATCAATGTGTATATTTTGCTATTCGAAGGACTGTAGGATTTAAAAAAAATGATCTAGTTATCCGACCAATTGAGACAAATCGACTGTCCAGATCTTGAGTACTTTGTTCTTACAAATGATTCCCTGTAAATAAAAGAACCTATCGAAATGATGCATAAGGTAAAGCCAACTCATTCAAAGGGTTTCCAGAAACATCTCTCCACAACAGAAGCTTTTGTCATATACGCAAGGAAAACTCTGAACTGCGTATACAGAAGCGGCGTATTCAACCCCTATGACTCCCACGGCCTTAAACTTTAATTTGCACAATAACCTCGTACGTAATTCATATTCATTTGTTTTTTGTCATCACCTTATTCCTTCATTTCTTACTTCTAACTTAAGGATAAACTTTTAAAACATTCTGAATTCCTCAGCCTTCTGAACGATGTTCCTATTTCCAAACTTTTACAAATTTTGATTTTTAATGGTTTCCATTCCTGGTTGAGGTTACTTCATTCACTCATCTAGCATTGAGCATTGTCTCAACTACAGGAAGTCGGAACGGACGAGGATGTCAAGTCGAGCGAGAATCGAGAAGTCGAGAGACACGTGCATCAATCTGAAACCAATCTGAAAATCTTCGTCACTCAGAATCAAAAACAAAATTCGGTCGGATTTCCAATACAAACGTCAAGTCAGTGAACTCTTCTATACGGATCAGAAACTTCGCGGGCGGGTCACAAAGAATATTTCCAACAGCCTGTTGCAGACCTTTATCAACAACTGTCTTCGCTGGCTTTATACTGAAGATCAGATGGCCGGGCCGAAAATAATCACTGACAAGAAACTATGGCTGGGAACAAACAAAACAAGAACCAATCAATCGCCAACCAACAAATATGCAGGAGAAAGTGGAGATGGATTGGACACTCGCTGAGGAGGCCGCTGGGTGACATCGCGCGTCAGGCCATTGCTCGAGTGGAACCAGGCCGAAAGGAAGCGACGAATGGGACGATAGTGCGAAGGTGACATGGAGGAGACTGTCTAAAGAGGAGTATGGACAGTATGTACTAACATTGAAGCAGATGAAAAGTAGAGAAGAAGACAGAAGCAAAATGGGGACGTGCAGTTGAAGCCCTATGTTCCACTAGGAACCCAAGGGAACAATAATAAAAAAATTATAAATTCCTGGTTGATGCATATCATCTATTGTTTTAAATTTACATAATTTATTATTTTGCTTTATTTGTGAATCCGTATGTTACCGTTACCAAGTAGAATGACTAACTGACCTTATAGACAATTCCCAAACCATTCACAACAACATCAGATAACGTTACAGTTTTGAAGTGAAGTTAAGAAAAGAGTATTCTTTGCTGACCCATGTCTATTTTATGTATATCCAGTAGGTATTTTTCATGCCATTGTGGAAAATAAAAGTTAGTTTTTGTAAAGACAGAAAATTTCTCGGAAGCAGAAGGGTTAAGTGAAGAAATATTCACTTTTCAATTAGATTTCATCTCACACTGCCTCTACTCTAATATATATATATATCCATAGAATTTTTAATACAATACAGAACAGTTTACCAATGAAATGGTAGTCGCTGATCATGTTTGTTAACAATAATTAGTCAGTATCAACATGTCTAGGGGGCGATGGGTGATACTTCACGAAGAAAGTTAATAAAGACAATTAGAAGGCAGAAATGGTTACAACAAGTAGAATGTATAGTGCATAATTTTTGAAAAATGAAGAGTATTATATAAGGGGCAAGCGAATGTTCAAGCTGATTACGTAACCGACGATACATTTCTGGTTATGAAGAACGCAAATGAAGCAATGACCACATCCTCGACAGGTTCAACTATGCGCATTCAGCAATAAAATTCACCATAAAGAAAGAAAGTAATGGTAGTACCTCGTTCCTAGACGTCCTCCTGACCAAGAAAGAAGATGGTACACTAAGAAAGAGTGTACATAGGAAACCTACAACAATAGGTCAATACATTCATTTCTTGATTTTAGCACCTTTGAAATGTAAATGTAACTTGATAAAGTGTCTTGTTCATATAACTAGGCTAATCTGTCCAAACGATTGCTTCAATTAGGAGCTTAAGACTATCGTTGAAGATTTACTTAGTAAAAATGGATATCCAGATTGGTTCATTGAGAAAAATATGAATTTAGCACCAAAACAAGCCAGTAGGGCAACAGCTCCAAAAATATACTTTTCATGAAAGTGAAGCTCCTCGGTGATAACATCGGAGAAATAGTAACACAGAGCTTGAAGAATGGACTTTCATTACAGTAGAGGTATGCTGCCTCTTCCATACCACTCCTACCTTACTTTCGAGGAATAAGAACATACTACCTAATTTCGTTACCTCTATGTGTATCTAGCACTTTGATTAGAGCTGCCTAGTCAGCTACAATAGGCATACAATCAGGCAGGTCCATCATCGTGTTTTCTAACATCGTCCTGAATGCTTAACCACAAGACAAACAAGATCCATTCGTAGCTCTATTGTAGCACACCTTGTAGATAGTGAACATTCCGCTGATATTAATACAGCATTTAAAGTTATTCATCGCATTCCTATTAATCTTAATTTTGCTCTACGAGTTCGTCTTCTGCATACAGCTGAAACCTTTGGAATCCACTTGAAGAAGAAGAAGCCAAACCTGTGTGTTCAGAAAAAATTAATACAGCCATTTTCTTTACCTTGGCCATCATTACATGAATGCATAGACCGGGATACTTCACCCTTCCCCTCTGACTAAGCCTTTGAAAAATTCTCATTGCTCAAGATATTTTATTATTTTTCTGATTACTCATCTTTAATTACAAGTTAACATTGTCCAAACTGTTTTATTATGCCTCATTATTCTGTTACGTGATCAACTCAAATACTCGCTTATTCCTTGATTACTCTTCGTTTCTCCAAGGTTAGAGATTGTGCTATCCACTTGCTGTAACCATTTCTGCCTTCTAATTGTTTTCACTAACTGTCTTCCTTAATTATCACTCGCCGTCCCCTAGACATGTTGATACTGACTAACTATTGTTAACAAACATGATCAGCGACTACCATTTCATTGGTAAACTGCTCTGTATTGTATTAAAAATGCTATGGATATATATATTAGAGTAGAGGCAGTGTGAGATGAGGACCTAATTGAAAAGTGAATATTTTTTCGTTCAATCCGAAGACATTGGCTAGCGGTCGCGCTATGTCGTGAATTCAAGGACCATTGGATCGGGTCCCAGTGGCTTAATGGTATTACGAGCTTGTCTTGTAGCCGGAAGGTCCTGGCTTCGAACTTCGGTGGGTGCGTACTGATGAAGGGTCCCAAACTAGGGCGAAACAGCTGTCCAGTACTCCCTGGCAGGTTTCCAATGGTTCTCTAACTGATGTCAGCTCATGATGAAATCCTGAAACCAATTCGTTTGCCTTCTAAATGCCTAATTTGGGATGTTTTTCTATACTGAAATACAAGAAACCTCTAAAAGACCTGTTGGAGGTCAATTAAACGAGAATTACAAAATTTCAACTTACTGGTTTCAAATCACAATGAATAATGCCTTGTTTACGTAATAAACACAAACAGGTGAGCAATTTCACTGTGATTTTTTTCAACGAATGTATTGTAAAACCACGAAAATCATTTTTTCTCAAAAGGTCATATAAATTTGAACTGAACAAAATGAAAAATACAAAAAATACATTAATTAATTTACTGAAGAATTATTAGAATGTATTACATAATGCTGATAAGCAGGTTTCCAGGTGTGTATATCACTAATGAGTGACCTGACATATGTTGCTTTTGATTCCTGGATTTGTGTAGGCATAACTAGACTCTACCCATGCTTCGAGGAAACCACACACACACACGCTTACAATGTATAATGTTAACGTAATTTGTTTGGTCGTGTATAGCATTGGAATGCAGGACAAGCGTTTCGTCCGTATTCATGACTCGTCATCATCAGTGAACGATGATGAATTTTCGCACTAAAATTCAATGAAACTAACACACGTCTATATGAACATCAAGGAGTCATCCCTTGGTCACTGGCAGGTGGAGTTTGGATTCCACTGGCAGCCATCATCGGAGGAATAACATCATTTTATCTTAGAAGGTTCGTTAAAACATCCGTACTAGTAGCCAGTATGTTAACAGAGACTGGACAGTTCAGTTCAATAACATCAGTCAACAGAAAATCCATAAAATAACGGAGGACTCAGTAAAGATCTTGAAGTGAAGAAAAGTGCAGTAAAAGACCGCTTACTATCACCGATAATGTTTCTAATTGCAGTGGACTGGATCAAGCCGCAGACTTTAGAATAAGGGAAAACAGACATACGACGTCAAGACACTAGAAGATATGGACTTCACAGATGATTTGTGTTTCACGTCAAAATACCTTAAAGATCTGCATGAGAGAGCCAACAAGTTCGCAGATAAGACTGAGGAGACAGAACTTCCTGTGAGCACAGGGAGGACACAGGTGACGAAGATACATACTGACCAACACCAAGAAGCACTAACCATTACCAGTGGGACAAGCAAGGCAGACCTCAGGTACTCTGGAGATAGTATGTATGCAGTATGAGGAGCGAGATACGAATTTTTAACACCAATACCACGTCGACGAACGCTTCTATATATTTCACAGACCTAGCGTGTTACGTAAGGCATTCCCAACTAACTGAAGACTTTGATCGACAGTTGCTTTCACTGAAGATACTCAAGATGAGATGGTCAGAGAGCGTAAGCAAAGCGGAACTCGAACAAGAAACAAGCCAAGAAACTGCCGCCTAAAAAACATGCTAAAGGAAATAGAGATTGACTGAACACACGCTGAAAAGACCACTGAATGACGTCAAGTGCCATGTTTTCTAGTACAACCTGAATGGGAAATTGTGATTCAAGCTTGAGTTCGAGGATGACACGGTGTAAATAGTCTGGGGAGAGTCATTATCACATTAAATAGTCTAACTCATGTCATTAATTTACGTGGATTGTATTGAATCCTACTCAAACACTTGTATTTCAATGCAGTTATCTGCCTACTTAAACCTCAGCAGCTGAAAACAAATACTGGCCTGTGATTCAGCTGTTTAATGTCAAGACCCCAGATCAGTGAATCACAGCTCTATATTAAGTGATTTATCATGAAGTTGTTCATGACGGATTCTCTATAGAACTTAATTATTTTTAACTGTGAATTCACATTAAAAGTAATCATGATATCACGGTATTGCTCAATGATCAATATTGATTATTTCGTAAGAACACTCACAGCGGTCATTATCATGGGTCAAAACTCGGTAGATCACGAAAAGAATTTTCAAATGGCCACTGCACACTTTCATCAACAGCTACCCACTTCGTTGACCCCATAGTGTAGATCAAATGACTAGCCAGAAACAAATGACAACAAGGGGACAAACCAACCAAGAGCCTATCATTCAACAAACATGTAGGGGAAAGTGGAGATGGATAGGGCACATATTGAGGAGGTCGTTAAATGACATCGCGCTATCGCCAGGTTATCCTTCAAGCGACACCTGAACAGGGAATGAGCAGTTCGGTACAGGTTCAAGGTTGACACGAAGGAGATCGTGCCATTATGAGCAGAGAGATTTTATGGACAATCGTGGGGCCAGCTGAGGAAGACAGCCAAAAATAGAACAAAGTGAAGATGTGTTGTTGAAGCCATATATCCGACTCGGAATCCAAAGGGAATAATAATAAATCTATACTGTAGACAAACACATATCTGAAAACACAAACTTACCCTAATAAATCGAATACAATGCATAAATGATTACGAAAAATGAAATGCTCTCTAATATGTATAATATTGTGTATATTCCTATGGTCAGCTTTTCTCAGATTCTCCAATATGGCTACTTCAACTTGAGCTTGCTGATGAAATCTAAACAATGCAAGACACAAAGGACAATGACAAATAAAGAAGAAATACAAATGGAGGCTGGGTAATTTATTCAACACATCACAGTTAAACAAAGCCAGGGCGTGTTTTCCTGAATGCTGTACTAACTTTAGATATGATCATCAGTAGTTTCGCCCATTTACACACACTATAGTGTTTATCATTCGACGACAATGTCATTACCTTTGATTGTCATTAATGGTATCAAGCAGTCAAAATGTTTTAATCAAAATATTTTGAGTTTCTAAGGGCAACTGTAGTTAATGTTCACTCCTAAACTGCATAGTTACTCAGTGATCGGTGGCATTCTATGTATTCCCGTTCTGACAAAATGTAATGAATCAGAACTCAGATCGGTTTTGAGAATTGTTACCCAGAACGATCAATGGCAAAATCTATGAACCTTAGACTGCAAAAGCCGCCCACGCTAAGCCTCCCAAAAAATCTTCTCTACATGAACCTTCAATTAAATGGAGATTAATCTGCGGATACACTGAAAAATCGACTGTCCCGTTCACTTAAGAAAATCTTCTTTACAGTTGAAAAAGGATTAACCTTCTCCAGGATATTTATGATTCGTATGAACATGAAGGATAAGCTTTCACTGCTGGCCTCATCAGTGTGTCTCTACTAATTCAGATGCCCGTATGGAGCCAGGTATGTCGGCCGTGTCCACCGTTCTCTTTCCAAACGTATCATCGCACTCTTACCAGCATGGTTTCACAAAGGAGAAAAGCAGTGTCTCTGCGACTCTGTCTTAAAATATCTGCTAGATTTCGGACACCAAGCTACACCTCAAGCAAACTTCAAAGTCGTCTATAAAATGAGAAACCGTCTCTTAAAAGTGCACGAAACAAACTTCTTTAAGCTGCAGAAGCAGTGGCAATTCACTCGTTAGGTCTTGAACTCTGCATACCGAAGAAGTTCGTTCAATCACTACACTTGCAATGGACGTAAATTCTATTTCTTTCTCTCTGTCTCTTCATTAGTATTATTATGTCTTCGCAATTGTAATATTTTGCATTTTCAACTCTCTTGTTCTCTACCCCCACCCCATTTAATTTCTACACTTCACTACCACTGTTACTGACCTAACCAACGCTCAATTTCTAGTCATTTATGTTACGTCATCCAACTTAATTGCTCAATTTCAGCTCTAATTTAAGTGGCATTATTATCTACCCCACTTCTACTTAGTCTCTACCTGTAATAACCTCTGTTGCTACCCTGACCTAAGTTGAAACATTTTAGTCAATTACATACACTACGTCATCTAACTTACTAATTCAATCTTACTTTAGTTACTGTTTAATTAATCTTGTTTCTATATTACATGATTCTTGTATTAACTGATTAATTATCTAAACTTGACAAACCTCATGTGCACACACACACACACAAAGATAATTATATACAAATGCGATTGTACAACTATGTGAATGAATTCGCTGTCGAAAAGAGTCTCTTCACTGGACGTCTTCTCTTTTTCATGTGACTCAATGGGAATTTCTAAGCTACCTTTGAAGTGACTAGACTCTTTTTGACTTAGTCAGTCTATGCACACCATTGATAAGTTTGGCTGCCAAAACAGGTGGAACTGCTGCTTATTGCGTTTGAAATCACTTTCCTTCTAGTCAGTAGCACACACATATTGCGGTGTGTGCTACTGATAAGATTTATAAGTAGTATATAAAGAGACACTCATAGGCATACAAATATCAAAAAGCATGAAGGTAGATTTGATGTCAGAGAAAGAAAATGATTCAGCCTTATAGAGACACATGGGAGACGCGAAAGGAACATACAGAAATACAATATTGAGGCCAGAAATAGCATAACACGGAAGATCTGTGCAAATGGTGACTTGAAGATGAAGTGTACACAATTTCACTATGTAGATATACCGAACTGTAAATAAGAAGAGTGCTAGGAAAGACAAAAGACAATTCTACGACACATTGGCAGATGATTTCAGGAGATGGTATTAAAGAGATCAACACTAATAATAAAACCAATATAAGATTCTCAAGGAAACCCGATTACCAAAAAGGAGAAACAAATAAATGAAGGAGCTGGTCACTTTAAAGGGCTCTTGAATCGACCACCACTTGAAACTCGCCCATAAATACACCACAACAACAACATGCACAGAATTGCCTGCCTGCGATCAAGCTACTTAAGCACTGAAAACGGACGCAGAAACTGTTGGAGATTTCCTCACGCCATTATTGCAAATGGTTTGTAAGGAAAGAGAGATACCCACCGATAGGAAGAAAGGCTACCTCGTCTAACTGCCAAAGAACGGCGATCTATGCCTGTGCTAGAACTGGCGTGGAATCATGCTCTTGTCCAAGCAATGTAAAATACTAAGTCGCAACATCCTGGAGAGAGAGAATAAAGGATGCAGTACATGCACGGAACAAGCTGGATTCAGGAAAGGTAAATCATGTGCTAATCAAATTACAACTCTACACATAGTCATCAAAGAAAAAACTATAGAAAGGCAGTCAGACCTCTAACTCAACTTCAATGACTTCAAGAAGGCCTTAGATAGAGTTGACATAGAGGTAATTTGGAAAATAACTTCATAACTACAGCGTACCTCAAGTCTTTATCAACCTCATTCAACAGCCATATCAGAACCATAAGTGTCAGGTGGTCCACAACAGGAAACTCAGCGAGGAGTTCACAGTGAACATAGGAGTAAGACAAGACTACCTATTGTCACCGATGGTATTTTTAATTGTGGTGGACTGGATTATGCATCAGACGGTGGGGAGCGGGGAGAGAGAAGTGTGGAGTCCTCAAAAATAAACTTATCCAAATTTTACTACTATGTAAGAAATGAACATATTGTACATCACTTTGTTTTAAGCATAAACTCTGTACTTTGAACTTTACCTCGGGTTTTGAATAAATATAGAGTTCTGCCTTCGACTCTCCGTCTTCTCCACCATCTCAACTGCCGTCGATCAATTTTAATCACCTGCTTTCTATCTCAAATTTTTGCAGGAACACCGTAGTTCTTCCTACGTACTTTGGTCGACCTCCGGCAACATCAACATTGGAGAATTAGTACTGAAGCAGTCTTCCCGCAGCACCTAGAGTCTATTACGTTTATTGTGGACTTTGGATCTTTGTAAACCCAAGTAACCAAACTTTAATACATTCTTCCCGTAACTAAACTGATTTGGTACTTTATTTTCTGTTTGAATTTGGGTAACTAAGCTAACAGAGTGAAAGGTCCACCACAGAAGTACGCTGGATCACCGATAAGAGGAACCTAGAAGATCTAGACTTTGCTCGTGCTTGATTTATGTTTAATGTCACACACACTCGAAGAATTAGAGGCAAAAGCCAACAATTTGGCTGAAGAGGCAAGCAGCGAGGACAGGACTCCAGAAAACGGAGGTGATGAAGATGGCCAACGAACAACAAAAACAACAGCCGGTACCAATCACCATCAACAGGAGAAATTTGAGAGAGGTTACTTCCCGCCTTCACTTATCTAGGAAGCATCGATTCAACTACCGGTGGAATGGATGAAGATGTCAAAGGCAGCGAGAAGCGGAAAGGCAAGATACGCCTCCATCAGCCTAAAACAGGTTCGGAAATCGTCTGCATTCAGCCAGCATAAACAATAAGATTCAGGTTTTCAACACCAATGTCAAGTCGGTCCTTCTTTACGGGTCATAAACTTGGCCAGCATTACAGACTTTCATCAACAGCTGCCCACTTCGCTCGCTCCAGAATGAAGATCAAATTGCCAGCCAGAAAGAATTAGTAACATGAAACTCCGGCGACAAAGCAACCAGCAGCCGGTCGCTTAGTAAATATATAAGAGAAAATGGAAATGTACTGATCGGGCATCTTTTGAGGAGACCGCCGAATGGAATCGCCTGCCAGGCCGGGCAGATGAGAAGCGGTGAATGGATCGTCCTAAGGTGACATTGGAGAGATCTTTTGACGAGGAGATGAGAGATTGTGGTCAATCATGGTCCAAGCTGAAGGAGACGGCAGAAGATAGGACAAAATGCAGATTTGTTGTTGAAGCCCTATGTTCCACTGGGAACTCAAGGGAATAATACAATAAATAATAAAAAATTCTAAGTAAACATTCCTTTACCAAGTCTCTTGTCCTCTACGCTTACAGTAGTAAGATTAGTAGTTGATAAAATCAGTTTTCAGTATTTCAATCATTTATTAACTCTACTACTACTACTATTACTTGCCTTTTCCTATTTCGTATAATTTTTATAGCCACAGGAAATCCAGATTTGTGATCAATGGCGCGTATTACACGACCAAAAGAACCTTTCCCCAGGGTCTCTAACGCTTGAAATCGATAAGCTATATGATCATGGGTTATCTGAAATGTAAAGTAAATAAAAGATCAGAATAAAGGTCTAAGTTAAACTCTATGCTCAAATCTGTTTAACAGTTAATGATAACTACAATTCAGAGTAGACCTGTATTTTTCTATAAACGATTATCGAGTTAGCTATGTAGAGTTTGGTGATTCTAATCCTTTTCTAATGGAAGTAAATACTTGAATCAGACAGTTGACTGAGTGGAAAGGAACGTACCGGTGCTGAGAAGTATTTATCTACAAGTTTTCGCGAATAAGGGTTAAGAATCATAAAGTTAGAATGCCTATAATTCTTCAGACAACCTTTATAGATGACAAAGCCTCCAGGAGAAACAATTGTGAACTAATTAGTGCACTGATGGAATATAAGTACTTGAGAATTAGTTTTCAGAGATTTGAACTGTTCCAAGTCTGTTCACTGGCTGACATCAGCCAGAGGGCTGTTGAAAGTCAGGAAATACTGAGCAGTTATTTCGACTCTTTAGGTTTAAGCACCCATAACTGCATCAGTGATCGAAATCAGGACCTTCTAGTTACTAAGCCATTTTCACTGACTATTCAGATATTTAGGCCGGAATTCAATTATGGCGTAAGCTTCTAACTCCTGTTGACTTAGGATTTTAGTGTGAACACTAGCCAATATCATCGGTGAGTATGCCTCTTCACACTCGATTTGACTGACCCCAGTGGTCATGACTTCTCACTAGTATTCGCAGCAACTTCGTCTTGTAAACAGACACTGGCAAGCAACAGATTAATTTTCAAAAGTCACTTTGTAGGAATATGACTAAATGGTTAATTTGCTTGGTCTCACATCCAGAAGATCTTGAGTTCGATCCCTGGTGGAGTTTGGACTGTGTAATCCTGGGTGGTCTCACTACTTGGAACGAAACAGCTATCCAGTACTCGCTGGTTTTCAATGGTCCTCTGATTGACATCACATTATGATCAAATATAAAAAGGTCTAAAATGACAATTCTCTTTTTCATTTTAAAGATGAATGCTCCTGTCAGTATCGAGACTTATCTATCGTCAGAGTACAGAAAGAGATGTCCTTAAATGTATCTTGAGTCATACATCAGAGAAATTTAGTTGCAAATTAGCTGTGCGTCGGTGGCACAGTGGCTAGGACTCTCGCTCACCATGCACATGGTCCGGGCTTCGAGCACCCGCCAACGCACACCTGATATCTATGGTTGGCCTGCAAAATTTAGGCTACCGATATCCATGCTAAAAATTCCATACTTGTACCAAAAATACAGTGTGGAATCAAGGTGTAATCAAAAATGAAAAAAAATAAATATTAGCAGTGAGTGCTACTCATATATATATGCAAATATAATGTCAAGTAATGCCGTCAGAGAAGTAATCATAATTTAAAGTATTGGTTTGTGGGGACTTGACTGATTGGTTGGAGGATTTCATCATAAGCGGATATCGGTTAGAGAACCCTTGGAAAACCAACAGGGAGTACTGGAACTCTTCATCAGTGCGCACACACCTCACTGCCAGGGTGTAAACTCAGGACCTCGTATACCACTGAGCCACTGGGACCCTATCCAATGGCCAATCCATTAATTCAAACTTCTGTCAATTCACGATATAACGTGACCGCTAGCCAATGCCTTCGGCGAGTATTCTTCCTCACACCCGACCTACGACATACTACTGGTCACGACTTCTCACTATTTACCTGAGTTCTATTGGGAGGTGTTAGATTCCGCGCCAGTCGAGTCAAAGGTTTGAGGTCAACTTCTTACTGGCGAACTTAAAGTCTTTTTCTAGTCGTTAGTAAAAGAAGAATGTTGGGATATCACTCCCGACCCGTGAATGAAACACATCTGCTGATAAACTTCAAATTCTGGAGATCTGCGTTACACTTAGAATGAAATGAATGGGAAAAATTATTTGCTGATTGTGAAATCAATATAAGGCACATAATTTCCTTAACTCCGTTTGCATTTTCTCCTAGAAACCATTATTTATACCCTAACTAGCCTTGCTAACCACAACTGGTGTTACTGCCTCTTCAGGAGACAAAGATGTCACGTCGTCATGTCTTCAAAAAGGCAGATATGAGGACATTGTAAAGGTCTTTGAAACTGTTGCTCACCTAACCAACGATTCATGATTAAATGTAGACCCAAATTAATCACTAATTGCTTGCCAGGTCTTAGGAATGAAACCAAATTTTGCTATAACGATAATGCATCCACGATTGAACAACTCTCGAAATTTAAAGGTAAAGATTTCGACAGATCGTCTCCAACTTATTTGAAAGTATGGCGAGAGCTGTCTGCCAGCCAAAATTGGAGGACAGCAATTTACGCTAATGTTCGTGCCCCAAATCTTGGTCAGGAGAAAAAACACGAACAAAGCCTAACCTTGAGGAACTCAACAACCAACAGCACATATAGCGTGGGTGGTTAAGATTCACAGATATATCATCTGACCTTCAAAGAAACGGCCACAAGGAGATGACAGGATAACCTTCAACGAAAAGACAACCAATCAGAAGACGCTTTTTTCCTGCTAATAATAACGAATAATAATTTACATAAAAATCTATAAATATCTATTGATTTCCTCAATAAACTATCTGTTGCCTGACTTTTGCTTTCTGTCGTTACAAAAAGTCTCTAATGTATATTTTCATTTCAACCTTCTTTACAGTGAAATGCCACCTGAAATAAAATGCTTTGAGATGTTTTATTAATATTATATCCTTTAATTCCTAGAGGAACATAGGGCTTCAGCTGCACGTCTCCATTGCCTTCCGTTTTACCGTCAACTTTTTCTCCCCGCTCCAAATCTGCCCGCGTGATTTTATCTCCTCCTGACATGACCTCCTCCAAGTCACCCTCACATCGACGACCAACTCGCCGTCTCCCTTTCGAGTTCCACTCGAGGGCTTGTCTAGTGATGTCACTTGATGGTCTCCTCAGAGTATGGTCATTCCATCTCCATTTCTTCCTGCCTATTTGTTGCACAATCGGTTCCTGGTTGGTTCGCTCCCAAAGATCTTTTCTGGCCGGCCATCTGATCTTGAGTAGTATTGAGCGAAGACAGCTATTGATGAAGGTCTGAAGTTTGTTTGAGATGCTCTTTATGACGCGCTGGCCAAGTCTCTGGTACGTACAAAAAGTAGTACTGACTTGACATTGGAGTTGAAAATCCGGATCTTAATTTTGATGCTCAGTGCTGCTGACCTCCACACAGACTTGAGAGTGATGAAAGGTTGCCTAGCTTTCCCAATCCTCGCTTTAATATCCTCATCAGTTCCGCCTGTAGTTGAAATAATGCTTCCCAGGGAGGTGAAGGAGGTTGTTTCTTTCAGGTTCCTCCCATTCATGCTGGCTGATTGTTGTCTGTTGTTGTTGTGCTGTTGGTGTTGGCCAGGAATCTTCATCACCTCTATTTTCTCTATGTTCACCTGAAGTCATATCTTCTCTGGATGCTTCTTCAGCCAGCTTGTTGCTTTTCACTTGCATATCTTCCAGTTTTGTGGGGAAGCTGTTTTAAAAGACAGTCATTTTTCACCATGGCAATCAATAACCTCTATATCAGGCTGTTAGTGTATACTTAATTAGTCTAACCAGTTAGGACCACGAATGTCTATCTGCCGTTCAAATAAACCAAAATAATGTCAATGATAGTGTGAATAATAAATCAATATTTAAACATACTTTTAAATATCCACCAGTTTCATCATCATATCCATGATTACTTGGTGATCCAACAATACCTTCAATTTTTTGAGCAGATAAACCAAGATACCAAATTTTTGAAAAATTTAATATTTCATCCCTTTCAAAGGATGTCAACTTCTTTCCGTAAATATTTAACGCAGCTAAAATTGAATTATGAATAAGGAACGAAAAATGCATCACAGTGTTATCGAAAAATCGGGAATTCTGTTCAAATTTCGAGTTTTATTTAGGGATTCGATGATTTAGTTTGTAGTGTAGATAGCATCATGAACTGATGTTAAGTAAAGAATCATTGGAAACAAGAGGATAGTGGACAGATGTGTTGTCCTAGTTCAGGACTTTTCAGTGGCGTTTATCCCAAGACGTTACTGGGAATCGAATCAATGGCTTTCAGATTATTAGGACACCTATTTGCCTATTCAATCAAACAGAATGAATGTTCCATCAATCCCAACTTCTTTCAGTTGATAGAACAGCATTATTGCCATACAGAATCACCGGTGATTTGCTCTCCTCACAATCAGCATAATGGATACTGTCAATCTCGTCTTCCAGTTAGGACTGCATAAAGTTAATCTTCCAGTCACTTTGATCATGGGTTATATGTGCGTACCCCTGGAAACTAGCCTTGCTTAGTTTATCAGCTCGCTTGTTTTCTAGCCAATATCAAGCCCGGGAAAAGAAGAAAGGTTAGGCTTGGAGCTAGCGATTCTACCACTGGGAATCAATCAAGCTGTTACGAATACGTATGGGGACGTGGAGTGCTTCTACAATGTACAAAGCTTGGAAGCGTGCCAAGGTAGCAAAAGAAACGGGACGATATGATATTGAAGTACAAAAGCATATAGAATAGATGTGGACCATCAGAATTGTCAATTGGTGAGTCAGTAATCTACTGTGATCACACAAATGACAAACACGAGCAAACTGATGTCACCGATAGAAGCTGAAGCTATAATGCAGTGGGATTATAACAGCAAGACTCAACTCAAAAACGAAGAAGGAAGATTACATTTATCCAATGCTACAGGCAATTGGAACAATAGAAGAGGGAAGACTTCTACAGAAAATTTCAAATAGTAATGGATAGCGTCCCAAGTAGCGACATGAAAGTCACTATGAGCGATATTAACGCTGGCCAAAATGGGAGCAGACAATATAGGAAGAGGACTCATCATGGGTCGAGACGCACTGGGCAAAATGAATAGTCACGGAGAACTCTTCTCAGACGTCTGCACTTTCAGGGATTTGGTTACTGGAGGCGGTGTGCACAAGCGCAAGGATATACACAAGGAAAAATGGATTTCACCTGAGGGGCACAAGACAAACCAGATAGACTTCATCTCAGTGTCACTTAATGAAGCGGAGACGCAATCTGCTGGGCACAAAGTCGAGAAAGAGAGCAGACTTGTACTCAGACTATCATCTAGTTCAAGAAACATGAAAGGTAAAGCTTCAATCCTTCAGAATAACTAAAAAGAAGCCACATTCCAAATTCAACATGCAGACACTCAAGGACAAAACTACAGGGGATACCTTCACTACAAATAAGATCAAAGTTGGAGACACTACATGGTATTACTGAGGAAACCTGTGTGGAATAACACTGGAACTCTATGAATGCGATGTTCTAGGAAACGCATACAACCGTTATGGGAAGAAAGAAGACAAGGAATGGATTTTTAAGGCCACCTGAATGCTAATGAAAGCGAGGAGGATGGTGAAAGAGACGACTTGATGCAAAGATGAACAACAGAGAGAGAAGTTGAGTTCAATTTACATCGTACTGAATAAGGAAGTGAAGAAGAGTACTAAGAAAGGCGAAGGACAATTCTACAACACACTGACAACTGAGACAAATTAGGCCGCAAATAAAAGAGACCTCAGATAACCACATCTCTATCCGGGAAGAGATCAACCCAGATGATGAAACCAATATTAGATGTTCAAGGGAACCTAATTACCGAAGATAAGAGACAAATCAAACAATGGGCGGATCACTTCAAAGTACACTTTGATCGGCCATCATTTGAAACTCGCCCAGAAATACACCACCATCAATAGCATGCACAGAACTGCCAACCAGTGGAGATCAATTGGGCACATGCTGAAGAGACCTCTGAGTTACACTGCTCGCTGGTTCATTGTTCGAATGGAACCTGAGTGGGAAACGATGAGTGAGGTGTCCTAGGGTGACATAGAGGAAGTCGTGTGAGGAGGAGATATGAGACTGCAGACAATAAGACAGATTGAAGACGTGCTGCTGAAGCCTTGTGTTCCACTCTGAACCGATGGGAACAGTAATAATAATGCTGCTGAGTACTGCCAAAGTAGCACGCAAAAGCCATCCAGTTCTCCTTGATTTTCAAAGATTCTATAACCGTTATCGATTTATCATGAAATCTACATTAGGAATAACAATATTAATACTGACTGTTAAATAAATAAAAATTATACAGTAATACGTTTCACTGTGCCGAATTAATAAGGATTCTGTTATTAAACTTTTTTATACGTGAACTGTCCTATCTACAGCTGGATATGTCAATGTTATATGTCTTCCATATATTTGCTCAAAACCTTAAAACAAACTAACTTCAACTATAAACTACTGTTTTTGTGCTTTGACTCACAATTTTCCCACTTTCGCTTAAAGCTCGCAGTTTGATACCTTTAAATCAATATAAGCATTGATTTATAATTCGATTTTAACTACAAATAGAACAGTACTCCTTAAATCTCAATCATTACTTAGACGACATCTCATCTTGTGATGAGAGCTGTCGAGAAGACAAAACTGTAAACAACAGTTTACATCAATGTTTACATCCCGAATGGTGGTCATGAGAAAAAACAAGAACAAAGCTTAACACTGAGGATTTCAACAACCATTCATAGCAGATCTAGCGTGTGTAAATACGATTCGTAAATATACGGATGAATTTGTAAGCAACGGTCACAAGCAGTACAGAATACCCTTCAGCAGGAAAACGACCAATCAGAAGACGCTGTTCCTCTGCTAATAATAACGAATAATAATGTACATAAAAATCTATAAATATCTGTTGATTTCCTCAATAAACGATCTGTTGTCTGGCCCTTGTCTTCTGTCATTACAATCTAACAGAGGAGCGGATTGGTTGAAATGATCATCCTAGAGAAAATCTTAAGTCTTTAAAAATCTTAGGATAGTTTGGAAAAGATATAATATGAGTTATTTTTTTCCATGTGATCTGTAAACTAGATATTTGATCTCGATATGAGTTAAAGATCATATCATTCGATTCTTATTGATGTGTGCTATTCAGTCAGAATACAGTTTTATTGATCGGGTTAGAAACAACTGCAATTTTGAGTGATACTGTCTATTTCATAGAGGAGTAGATCTATGCCTTCTGAGTCAGCCATCTGCGTCTGTCTTCCTCTCATTGTAGGAAAAACATTTGAAGTCATCTGCTGTGTGCTGCTGTATGTATGTGTTTATCAAAGCAACGAACTCAAGAACCAGTATTATTTTCCATTATTATCACTGTTGTCTGATGAATAACTACACGCTCAATGTGAAAACGATTAGTGACTTAAAAGGGGTGCAAAGCGGAGCTGTACAATCGCGGATTTGCATAGTGCACTATTATAGCAAAGAAGGGAATGTTTCCAAAGGTATATCATTGAAATTGCAAGTTTGAAACGCCAGTTGCATTAAACAGGAAGTATTATTAATCGAGAGAAATGAAAATGAAACAATTGACAGGATTTGGTAGAGTTCAGCTGAAGCAGGGTCAAGTCTGGATAATTGTCACTAGGTGTAAAAGTGTAATGGAAGTAGGAAAGGGGAGGGAACAATGAAATGAAAGAGAATATGATTAAAAAATTACTTGTCAAATATTGAGACACGTAAGCACATTGCAGGTCGACGGAATTGAACAAAATTTACAGCTATACAAATTTCGCAATCTAATATATGGATTGCCACAGCTTCCACGGTTTGAAGATTTCAACATTCTCTCCTTTGATAAGACTTCTCTATGCTCTTTAGATGACTCTAAATTTGTATTCCGGCTTCCGTCGCATTCATGGAAGTTACAAAAAGTTTTATTTATGTTTTAACTACTTATTTATTTGCTAGTAGTGTACAATGTATTAAAGAAATACACTCTGCAGTTTCCTACTTTTGATATATTCTCTAAGCTAGTAAACTAGTAGTGATGTTTCTCAGTAAGTTTAAGCCCTGACGACATTTGTATACACGTGCACTTTTCCTAGCCATATGACTCATAACTTCTTCCGGGATGATTTTGAATACGAAGCATGAAACTGCATAATTGTGGTTCTAAGTGGTTCATTCACCTGGTTCCCCTTCTGCTCATTATTAAGCTGAGACCCACAACAGTGGAGTTTTTAGGTTTGACTTGGTTTAGACAACTCAATATGTCCAGATCACCTGATTTCTTGCTAGCTACTTAGACGAACTGGTAACACCAAATATGTGAAATTCTCAATTTGCATATTAATGTGATTAATCTTATACAACCATCCGCCACAACCACTTAGTTGTATATCACTTCACGCGATTGTACTCCGTTTCTCGATTACCATTTATGGTGTCAAGCAGACAACATATTGTGATTTGGGTAATTTCGGCTCCTAGTGGAAAATGTGTTGAAATTTTACCTTGAATTGTGCCTATCGCAAGCTGATTTGCAAATAGCCAGTTTCATACACTAAATGTCTCAACTGTTATATCATGAAAAAGCATTAATTGCAATCGAAATAGGCAGTCATGGCTTGATTCCAGTTAGCAGAACATTCCGGTTACCAAGCTGACGACAATCACTTAAAAATTTTCCCCACGAGACGAACAGTTTCGTTCAGCTGTTAAATGGATTACTGATTCGTAATTTAAAGCAGTTAGATCCTTATAATGAACGTCGACAAAACTAGGAGACGTCATACATCTCATTAGAACTTGGAAAAGAGTTTAATCTTTGAATTTTCAGCAACACGGGTATTATTAAGCGAAAGCCCTAGCCGGCTATTACATATTTTTGAGGTTGTTAGGTTCTCCATCAAAACGTCCAGTCTATGTATCCATAAGAAGATGTTGGTTCAGACACTGTCCCCTTACATTGGCCATGAAGGC